TCACACCATACACATCATTTGTACAATACCTACATTATATTTACCCATAGTTCTACACTTCACAACTTACACATCATTTGTATAATACCTACGTTGTATTTACCCAAAGTTCTACACTTCACACCATACACATCATTTGTACAATACCTACATTATATTTACCCATAGTTCTACACTTCACACCTTACACATCATTTGTACAATACGTACATTATATTTACCCATAGTTCTACACTTCACAACTTACACATTATTTATACAATACCTACATTATATTTACCCAAAGTTCTACACTGTACATTTTACACATGATTTGTACAATACCTACATTATATTTACCCATAGTTCTACACTTCACACCATACACATCATTTGTACAATACCTACAATATATTTACCCATAGTTCTACACTTCACAACTTACACTTTATTTATACAATACCTACATTATATTTACCCATAGTTCTACACTTCACACAGTACACATCATTTGTATAATACCTACATTATATTTACCCATAGTTCTACACTTCACACCTTACACATGATTTGTTAGCTATTTTGGAAGCTACTGTTCGTTAAATTGAGGCATTATTTCTTATGTGCTATGGGTGATAAAGGTGATCATTGGTACTTTCTTGTGATTGATTAGTTGGTATAATCACATATTATTATTGGTGTAGAAGGGGTTAACTTATTTCTTCATTGGTTCTTATTAATCAATGTATTCAGTTTGTGTAAGCTGAGTTACCTGAAGTTCCCTCTGTTGTTTCATGTTCACATTAGACCAACGTATTAGGATGTTGCCTTTACTTGCCTGTTAATGGTAGAGCCTGATGTTATGCTTAAACCTCTCTTCTGAAGAACAGGACTTATGTACTGACCCTCATTTTTGATTAAGTTTATCAATTAGTCATTTGTTAATTGAAATATTGCACCTGTTTTTGTAATATCAGAGGGGGCTAGTCTTATGTCAGGTGATCCTGTTTTTAAATATTTCTTTTTTTCGTGACTTCCACACAATTTCAGAAATCTACTTGACGTGTATTCTCTTCCTGTTCTTTCTGTAAATTGTGCTGGTGGTAATTTTGTAGGTTTTTTTTAATTCATTTCATTCTAAGGTTTCTTATTGAGGAGAACATATATATGGCCTACTTTGTATTCATTACAGTTTTCCACATTTTGATTGGTTCACCACTTTCTATACTTTTGGCTTTTTTTTACATTTTCACCATCTTTCTCCTTAACCTGTTTCATTTTCTCATCCACAGGATCCAGTTTCTCTGTAAGATCTTTTGGATGCAATAGGGATTCTGATCTGTCAGTCTCAAGATTTTAACTGTCATCCCTTTGCTGTTCCAAAGTAATGGAGATCTGTGATCGGTGTTTTCTTTTACATTCAATATCTTATCATGTTACCTTTCAAAATGGATAACATGATAGTTTGAAAAAAATGTTTTTTCATTAAAACCAATGGAAGTGTATTTGCAGCACACATCTCCATACATCTTTTATTTCTATGATTTTGTTATTTGCTGGTCACATTTTCAGCATGTTTACCTTTCCACATCTTACGTTTACATACCTTGTGTTGCTGGTATAATAAACATTTAACAGATTCCTTTTCCTAAATTTGATCGTTTTTCCCCCACAGGTGGAGACTCAGTTCTGGTATTTTAATGGTTGTACAAACATATGTCATCCATTGTTGCTGGTTCTCTATGGGTGAAAACAATTTTCTTTCAGTCTGGTCTTTAGAATTCTAATTGGAAAGTTTAGAGTTGAACAATTTTAGTATTTTCCTGTTTCTGGTTATTAATGTCTTTGTTAAGTGAAACCAGAATTTAGTGCTCTCACTTCACACCACTAATTGCCCTATGTTCCAGTGGGCCAATCTGCCCCTGGTACTACCCAAGAAAATTTCCATTAACTGTGTCATGATGTAAAAGACTGTTTTGTTCAGATAGTATTGATTAATTTAGTTTTGTGAGTGAATAGTTTATTATTGTTTAGTTTTTGTTATAATAAGAGTTAAAAGTAGACAATTGTAGGAAGTTTTGTTAATAATTCATTGATGTGGAGAATATCGAAAGTCACATGCAATATATTGATGTCGAGAATATATAAGGTGGACAGACGATTAAGTGACAAAGATATAAGTAGCATGAGGCGAACGGGAAGCAGCTGACAGATTATAGCAAAAGATAATAAAGTTGGCGTGAAGTTAACTACCGTAGAAGTGATCGGCCTAATGTTTAATATGTTAGAGTGAAACTAACAGTAGAAAAGAAGATAAGAAAAATAATTTTATTCTATCAAGGCGTGGTTCTAAAGTAATTGAATCAGTCTGTGTGCACTTTGATAAAACTTCAAAAGAAAGAAGACCAAACAATTACGGTAATTCGTGCCACAATTGTAAGCAAATCACAGAGAATAGTAGTGCGATAGAAATAGAGAAGACAGTTTGGTTTGTAAACTGAAATTCTAAAGTAATTGAATAGGCCTAACTGGATATTGGACAAGAAGAAGAGATCTACATATAGAGTATTTATGATATACCCATAATATCTATAGTGTTGAAGAATTTATACATACATTAACTTGTTCTGAATATATATATATTATTTTGAAAACAAGTAATTGTGTGCTGTTTATTTATCATTGAATTTATTGCAACAAATCACAGACACCTACTGTAGAAGAATCCTAAGCCCAACAACAACATAGTATATATTTATACTATTAAGAGATATAACTAAAAACCTTTTTATTTTGACAGTTGGAGAAAAAAAATTGTCAAATTTCTGACAGAGTGTTGGGTTCTTTGGCAGGTCCCATCATGGTGTCCTTCTCGTGTACTATAAAATAATGGATGTTGTTTTAGTTCTGGATTCTGTTCAATATCATCTTCATCTCAACATTCAGAGTTATTGTTCTCAGGATTGTTATTTTTCCTGTTTTTATCTGTTTATATCCTGTTATTAAATTCTCTGGTTTCTTTCTCCATCTCAATGTGTGTATTTTGGTTTATAGTATTTCATAGGTCCTATCTAATTTGAATATTATGTTTGTGTGATTAATATTAATTTTGAACAGGTATTTACCTCTGAGATACTTTCCCACCGACCTCCTCACAATCAAGAAGAATATATAATGGCATCATGACTTGCTGTAGGAAAGTTGGGTGATTCAACAAAAAGTTGTACAGAATGTGTGTGAGAGTTTATATCTTAGATAAGGTGGTGTTACTGTACGAAGGTCATTCAAATCAAAAAAGAAAAGGCTTACATTATTTCAGAGGAAATACAAGTTTTATTTAGTTTTAAAATGTAAAATTTCCTTTCATATCTGTTATATAAGGACAACATGATGTATCTCTTTTAGTCCCACTAGTTAAAGTTCAACTATAAATGTATGTGACCTAGTCAGTTAATAAAAACTTGTAGTGTTTTTACTATAAATGCTCATAATGTTTGAAATTATTCCTTTCTTTGCATATTTCTGATAAGTGTTTCTTGTTTTTACTTTGCTCGACATGTTTAAATTATTATTTGTATGTCAGGATGTCAGGATAACTGTGTACCACAAAGTAAATTATACACCAGACCTGTTCATCTAAACACATTGTGTTGTATTTCAGTATGATGTAGTGAAGCATGATTTACATTCAGTGTTGTTATACACAAATAAACACTATTTATACTTCTATCAACAGTAGAAGGTGATTCCTTACAACAAAGATCTTTACATACCATTTTGAAGTTTGGTGTAGTGAAAGAGGAACAAGAAGAGAACT